GAGCTGATCGTTATATTCAGATTTTGGATCAGGATTAAAAGACATAAATGGATTAAAATTCAAAACAACAGATTCACGTGCTTTTAGGTACATGTCAAACCAGGGACCTGAAAATGGAGAGTTGAGAAATAGGTCAGAACATAAAAGCAGCTTACTGAGTCGAACAGAGGTTCATGTAGTCAACATCCTGCCTCCAACAGTGATCAGGAATACCCACCTACTGAAGTGCATACAAACAGACACATGTAGTAACTCCCCCAAGGATTCTCCCAACCTCCAATTATGAAGAAAGGTACTGTTTGGCTAATTGTAAGGATACTGTATTTGGAGTAGTATGTATCAAGAGTGCAAATGTCATCACCGGCAAGGGACAATTTGTTTTCTATGGCTCCATGATAAACTACAACTCCCATGACATACAATGCAGCTTCCAGCGCTGTATGTTGGTGAACATCTAACAGTTGGACTGGAATATGCCTTTACTTACTCTCAAGCTACTAATTTCTGCTACTCTGGCACTGAGGGTATGCTTCTCTTTAGAACCACCTCTACTTCTGATCCAGTGTTTCCCTCATTCCTGGCAGCATTCCTCCACCTGCATTTGCTTTCTTGCATTTCCACCTCCTTCCTCTTTGTATCTACTAAAATGATCAGCACAGGGCAGAACTCTTGACACTGATGCATAACCATCAGACTCTGAAGTTGACAAAAAGACAAGGTTAGAGGGGACCTCACAGTTATTCTTCCAGAACATTCTTTGAAAAGTGGAATTACAATTGATACCAGCAGGACTTTTAGCCTGTCAGCATATTCAGAAGCATGACTGTGACCCAAAAGGTTCTGTGCCTACCAGCACCAACAGAATCAGTCATAGCTCTAAAAAGTAGTCACGTCTTTACACCTGCCTATGAGTAAACAAAAATCCAGAGGGCAAAGGGGGAGAAGGGATTTTTAAAGTAGGCTGTACTTCATCATCAGTAACAAGCTCAAATTCAACAAGCTCTGGCACTGCACACTGAATGCAGGCACAGGAAGCAAGTGCACACCAACTTCATCTCAAGGCAGATGATGTATTAAAAACTATTATTCCAAGCGTGGATCAGTTGCAGGTGGAACCTTCTAGCTGAAGTGTAAAAAGGGCAACAAAAACTTAGGTACCTAAGTTACAATTTTAATTTCAGGTCCTCACAAGGGAGTAACTAGCATTCATTTACAGCTTTAAAACCACATCTGTCATCACCACATAACCTTCAACCTTGGACTTGAAAGTCCAGGGCGAAGGCATCTATACTTACTTTCAGAAAACAGTTTCAAAGTGGAACAGGTCTTTTATGAGGCTTTACTATGAGTAATAACTAAACAAAAAGGAATGCAAATACCCCACGGTTCATGGACAAAAAGCAGCATGCTGGTCAGCACTAACATAAAGCCACCAGTTAGAGCCCTGGATGGTGTTCAAAGTGAATGGAAAGTAAAAGACAACAAACCAAACAGCAGCTTTTATGAAATTATCTGGTATTTTCTACAGAATTTAAGGCAGCTAACACCCTTACAGGCAGTCCCAACAGACAGCAAGGTTAGAAATGCATTTGTTGGGCAACATGCAGACTTGTACTTCCATGGCTATTTGAATATCTCCACCTCTATTGCTATCCATCCAATACTTCCCTAAGCAGATATCTGTATTTGGAAGTCTATGGATATAATAATACGGAAAAATAATTAAAAAAACCCTATATGCTCTCCCTCTTTTTTTGTTATTTTTTTATTCTTATTTTCCTCTTTCTGTCACTCCTTTGCTTCTACTCTTTAAAAGAATACGGTTTTGTAGTTCAGGAAGGGGGTTAAGCCCAGAGGACTGACCGCTTCTACCTCCAAAAGGTTAGTCATTTTCTCTTACCTTCCCCCCCTCAAAGTTCAACCTTCTTGCTAAATAACTTGCCAGTATTTGAAAATGATTGCTTTAGTCTCCTTCAGAGAATTACAAGTTAAACTCCTCTATTAGCATAAACAGAAAGAGATGTGTCACCACTGAAACACTGATGAAAAACCTGTAAACTCAAATTTAAATACAGTAACTCATGAAAAAATACCTTTCCTCCAGTATTCATGTATCAAGAACTCTAATACACACAAGTTATCATTTTTCCTTCCATCACAGACTCAGAATTTGCTCAAATACAGTCACAGTATTCAGAGCACGTTACTCCACACTTACGCAGTACAGAACTTAAGCCTGTAGCATTATGAGCTGTTGTCAAACATTACGATCTACAGACTCCTATATCCAACGTACCTGTGATGTAACTAGTGTGCTTGTTCTGACTGTCTTGAGCAACGAGTTGCTCATGCAGCTCTCTTCCAATTCCCTTTTCAAACTGATGAGCAAGTTCTTCAGTTTTCCTGCAGTAATTGGTAAAAGAGTCGGAATGCTGTCACAAGCCACATTCGTTTGTAATACCTGGTTTTGAAGCAGCACATGTCACTGCAGTATGTATATCTTGTTTGTCCATACCTGAATTGGTCATCATTTAAAAGTGGTTTCTGGGCATTCAGGTATCTCCTAATTGTGTCTTCTAGTTTGGGAACCGGCAGTCTGAAGGAAGGGGAACAGAGAGACACGCGCGTCATGAACAATGGTACTAATGAAGCCTGAGTTTCTTACACAGTTGTTTCTCTTTGCCTCCCCTCTTCCCTACCCTTCCTTAAACACTGTACTATCCAAATGACTCAGAAGTTTCTTGTGGAAGAAGAGAAGAAAGGGAATAGATGAACATAGGTCATCACAGCATAAAGTTCTTGGAAAAGAAGGTAGAAAACCCACCGGACTGTAACAGAGGTACTGAAGTAAAGGGCGTTGATACTTTACAGGGAATACAGTGACACAAACTGCTACAAGGAGAAGCAGCTATATAGAAATGAGGCTTAGTTTGGTAGCTCCCCCTGCATTTGATCTTCGCCTTCCCCTTCCTCCTGCCTTACTGCAAATGCCCTCATCAGTATCTTTGTAACCTTCCTCTCAGCCTAAACATTAAAACACTCTTCTTACTACAAAATAATCCTACAGCACTCACAGAGGTTACTTTGCAACCCGAAAGGACGTTTCAGTAGTGAGCTTCTAGTCATATTTAGGCTTTAAAACATGAAGTCATTCCTCTCCGCTGTGCCCTACGAAGGGCAAATAAAATACAACGAGAAGCGAGCAGCACAAGCGCGGCTGTGCACACACGCCAGGACGCGTCTTCTCTCCCCTCTTCACAACGGACTCCCGCCCAAGTCCGCCGGCCCCACACGGCCACCAACCGCCCTCCCGGAGCCCGTCCCGCCGGCTGCCCTCAGCAGCCGCCCGGGGCTGGCAGTGCCACTCGCCTCCCGGCGGTCGCTCGCTGGGGGCCTTACCCCGGGTCCCACCCAGCGGCGCCTCGGCAGGCCGCGGAACGGGCGGTCCCGGAGGGCAAGGGGCCCGGCGGGCGCCCCGGGGCGCGGAACAGCGGCCGCCGTACCTGGGCAGGCTCTTTTGGTAGTGCATGGTGGGCACGATGCTGCGGTGCAGGTACTCGGCAGCGCCCGCGCTGCTGTAGCCCCGCCGCCAGCGCAACGCCGCCGCCCGCCGCGGCACCAGCTGCCGCGCCGCCATGACATCCGGTCAGGCCCGTGAGGCGCCGTCCGCGCCGCCTCCCTCGCTGCCGTCCCGGGGCCGGAGGAGCGGCTGCTGCGACCCTGGCCGGCTCCCGGTAGCTCCGCGGAGCTCCTCCCGGCGCGGCGGAGCGCCCGGCCCTATCCGGGGTGAACTCACAACGCCCCGCGGCGGGGCGGAGGCGGCAGCTCGGCGGCAGCTCGGCGCCTCCCGGCGCTTTCTTACACTCGCCTGGTAGTAACGGGGGCTTCTGCACCGGAACCCGGCCGGCCCGGGGGCAGGCCCCGCGGACCGGAGAGGCCGGACCGGACAGGCCCCGCACGGCCCTCTGCGGGGTGGGAAAGGCCCAGCTGAGGGTCGCAACTGCACGAGGAACAGCGGGCGTGGAGGTGGACGTGATTTCATGAAGCACGGTTAAACTCTTAACTTCATTCGTGAGGTGTATTCGATCCGTTAGCAAAACTATCTGGATATTAGAACATGTCTGGTGTGGGGTGGATCAACACTAATTCAGTCCTCTCTTAATAAAATTCCGCATTAATAAAATGGTCTGTGAGCCTCTTTGTTTTGACAGGACTCTGGTTCATTATATAAATGCCACTCGTTTATTCTTCTTGTGTGTCCCTGTGTCTTACTGACCATCCAGTATCCAGATCCTGCCTCCAGAGAGAACGGTTTAATCTTTGGTGAGCTTTTGTGAGCATTTAACCGCAAACACTGTATTACAGTATAAACCAGAATATTGTAAGCACACATTTCTGTTGTACTCCGTGGAATATTTTCCACAAAAGCACCAAATAGACTAGCTCAGGAATGACAAAATGTTCTGGTAAGAAAGCATGGCATGGTGAAATGGTGATGCATTTTTAAAGACACTCACTAGCATAAAAATCAGCGTTGGGATTGAATGCAGACACAGTGAAGGAAAGGAAAGCAATCCCTGTGGTTTAGTCTGATAATCCTCTGAAAGTAAATTGGCCCTACTCTAATCAACATAGTTGTTGGAAGAAAAGTGAAATCATTTCACTTCCAAGAGAATAAATATCAGATGCCAGAAGGTGTCCTTGTGTGTTTTGGTATACAGCTATTTTCAGTTCAGCGCTTGTCTCTTGTGGTTCTCATGCAGCCTTTGCTGTGAAAACAAAACCCCCAAGCCTGCTTTAATTAATGAAGTTCAGTTTCACCTAGCTTGCCCTGTTGTGATAGTCCAGTGCAAAATGTTACCTGCTCTGCCCTGTAGAAAGACTGTTGGAACATTCCTGTTACCCATTGGAAGGCAGGACTTGCGCTGCTCCCTTTCTAGGTTTGGCTGTCCAGACCCGAGGGAATACACTCAAACACTCTCCCGGGAGTGTCACTTTGTTTTGAACCAGTCTTCATACAGAAATACTACTGCATTCTGTTCTAATTTTCCAGAGCCCCCTAATCTTCTTCCAGGCTCTTAATGATGTAGTTGATAATAGGATTGTTGGTATTAATTTGGAACAATAATGCCAGCTGCTTGCTTGATGGCTATTGGCAGAGGAGTGACCTTGCAGGTCAGCTAAGCAGAACTGGAAGTGCTTTGATCTGATCTATACAGAGCTTGTCCACCCGAACAAGAGGAGCGAGTGGATTCTCTTTCCATGGGATGCTGATTCTTCTCCAAGGAGCACGGAGGACAGCATGGCAGTGGCTTTTGACGCAATCCTAGCTCGGATCAAGGATGTTTGTAAAAGAAATGGTTTACTTATTCTCTCGGTGTTGTCAGTCACCATCGGCTGTCTTCTTGGATTCTTCCTGAGGACGAGGCGGCTTTCCCAACAGGTAAGTGTGACACGGCAGTGTATCACTGCAGAGAAAATACCACACTTATGTAACTAAGGACGTAGCAACTGGTGGAACTTCAGGGTGGACTTTTGAAGATAAAAAGCGTCTATATAGATATTTGTTAAATTTGTGTCATTTCATCTGCTTGTTAATCTACACTGTTCTTTTCACACATTCTTAATACATTTGCAGTGGTTCTGGTCATTAAGACATCTAGTCTAGCATCAGCACATTATAATGTTGCAAATGTGGATAATAATAGTGGGTGTTTAAGCTAGATGTAATAGACATGTAGTGTCTAATATAGACTTACTAAAAACTGGTAGCGCAATATATTGGTTGGGTTTCATATTACTTTGGTACATGTACACCTAAAGAAAACACCGCGAATATTTTTCCTCATCAGAGGTACAGATGTTTATATGATACCAATGGTATTTTGTATTAATAAATTTGAGCTCTCCCATCATTAGCAGACTGTGTTACTACAGTCACCCAGGGATTTCTCCCCAGCACACTTCGGCTAAGCTCTTTGCAGGTACGCATTTCTTTCTGCTGTAATCAGACAGACTGGACAGGGCAGTGTGGACTGCTGAAAGCGTTGCTTGAGCAAGCAAGAGATGATAGAAATCTCAATTAAAAAATATGGCATTTAGTAAATGCAACTAAACTAAACCAATTCTATGTTCTACTGCTGGCTACTGTCTGAAAATCTTTTGTGTCTGAGCAGTAGCTTCATACACACCGAGGAAAACACACAAAATGCAGAATGAAGAGATTATTTAGAGCAGCCTATTAATGGTTGTCCCTGTGAGGTGGCACATTTCATTTTCATCTTCCTTTGTGAAAGAACGCACAATGTACTGTGTTGAATTACAACACAATATGTAATCTAATCAATTTTTAAATGGTCTTTTAAAGCCTGCTATCTTTGCCATCTTCTACACCAAAGCTGTGGATTTTAGCAGTGTTATCTGATTCAGAGCTCTAGAAAAACTCTTGAAGACAAATAGTTTTTATCTCAAAACAATAAGCATCTCCCCATGTATTTCTAGGAAATCAGTTATTTCCAGTTTCCTGGTGAGTTGCTGATGAGGATGCTGAAAATGTTGATTCTCCCACTGGTTGTCTCAAGGTAAGTGAGGACAGTGATTGTTCCAATAGTGAAGTTTCCTAAATGAGACATGTCATGACCACTATTTGAGTTATAACAGAATGAATGTCAATGTGCTGGAAGCATTACTGACTGATGTACATTTATATTCTCAGTGGAGCTATGAACATGTTTTTTAATTGATAGGCTCATTTCCACAATACCTCATACAGGTATTACTTGCTTCCTTACTTGTAATGGGTGAGCCTTTTCCTTCAAACTGAACTAGAAGTTAAATATATGGAATAAATACCCCCCCTTATAAAAAAAACCTGTATTAAATCTAAACAATTGAAATAATACATTATACAAATAAGATGAAAAACACAATTTATAGGCTTATGAAGTATTGAGAGAGATGCTGTAGCATGATTAGTATTGCAAAAACCAAAATCATTCTTCAGAGAACTAATAATATATGCCTGGCTTCAACTGGCATATATTGCCAGTGGTTTCTTAGTGTACTAAAGGCAGAACCTTTAATGGTGCCCTTTTATTGGTAGCAGAATTGATGATCTAGATGTTGACACTGATGGATAGTCTCTGCAGGTGATAGGAGACATCCTAAGTGAGCGTAGGATATGTTTTCATCTAATCTAGGTTTGACATGGGAATTTCAGGTTAGATATAAGAAAGAAGGTCTTTACTGTGAGGGTGGTGTGGCAAGTTGCCTAGAGAAGCTGTGGCTGCCCCATCCTTGGGAGTGTTCAAGGCCAGGTTGGACAGAGCCTTGGGTGACGTGGTCTAGTGTGAGGTGTCCCTGCCCATGGCAGGGGGATTGGAACTGGATGATCTTAAGGTCCTTTCCAACCCAAACCATTCTATGATTCTTCCAGCTGACTACAGTCACCATCAAAACACCAGTTTGATGGCCAAAAGCTCTTTCGTGTGCCTAGTGCTGAGAGAAGAAGGACAGTAACAAAGCTTAAGTTTACATTACCAGATCTGTTAATAAATTCTTGCAATATTTGGTGCCTTTCCTTGAAACCTCAGTTTCTGGAACCTAATACACCAAAACCTTATCTTCACATTCAGAAAAAAAAACATTTCTAGACCAGATCTCTGAGAGCTGCTAAAAATTAACACAACCCAGCACTAATTTTATTTTTAAATCATCTACCTTTACATCTACCTCCTCATGGCTTTTCACAGAATGAAGCTGAGTCATGGTGCTTTGTACCTGAAACTAAATGCATGACTGTAGACTCATACTTAGTTCTGCCCCATGAAGCTAGAGAAGATCAAGCCCAAACATGTTAGAAGATTTTTTGAGAGGTGGAAGGAGAGTTTTCCAAAGAAAACATGAATCTCACATCAGAAAATGACATGACTAGTGACCCTTGTAGGTCACTAGTACAAATCCAGCCTTAAACAGAAATGGCTTAAAATGTGTACTATCCCTCCTCTGACCTGATTGTTACCAAGTTAAAACCAGGGACTTTTCAGATTGTATCCATTGAGAATGAAAAACTTATTATGTGGTCAGGTACCTCTGAATGCTGATTATTTTAAAAGCTCCTTGAATGCAGAAGAAATGAGCTGAACAACAGGAAACTATTTCTTCAATGTACAGTTCCTTTTTTTACCCTGCTCTGCCCCAGCACCTGGAAGTGCTGTATCCCTGATCTCCTGTACCTGTTTCTGATTGTCTCCTGTCACCTGTTTTCCCAGAGAGAGAGAGATATCTTTTAAAAGCAACCACCAACCACCAGCTTGCCAGTCTGAACCTTGCATGAGCTTTTGTTTTTGTTGTGACGTGGGTCTTCGTTAAGGACAGGGGTTGATATTATTTCATTTATCTGGTTACATAAACAAGTGTCATGGCATCATGTGACAACTGAAATATATTTATTGCCACATTCTCTGCCTGAGGTTATAAACCCTGCTTATAGCTCTTAGTATTCACTGTGTCTCGTGTATAGAGTTTGCTCTTCTTAGTGATGAAAACAGGTACCCACATAGCAAAGGATGCCACTTCTATTAGCAACATAAAGAAAAACTGACAGTTTGTGTCTGCCTTAGGAATATTCAGTAGTAGAGTGTTACAAGATCAAATTTAGACCTTATAATTAGAAGACATATTTATGTTTATTATATCCTTAAACATAGAATACTATTTTTTTGCCTGGGAATGAGAATATTAAGAGAGCTCATAGAGAACAGGAGCCAAATCTGAATTCATAGTTACACACTTAGGCTCTTACAGCAGCTAGACAAGGGAATGTCTTCAACAAGCCTGAAAGATCAACTGCAGGAGATCTGAAGATCCCTGATTCTCTTTGGGATAGAGGCCTTGATCCTCATTTGATAGCTGCAATGCAAGTAATACATATCCTTCTTACTTGCAAAAAGGTTTCAACACATGCTTAAGATTTTCAAACAGGCACACACGTATATGGCAGTGACAGAGGTGAATCTCAGTGCATCCTGCCCTTGAGTGCTCTGTTACGTTTAAAAAAACATGGGTCCAGGTCTTCAGACAGACATCTGCTGATCAGCTGGCCCAAGGTGCTCCAGTTTGTTAAACCATCTTTCCACCTATTCCATCTCCCAGCGTATGGAGAGGCTCAATCTGTATTACACCCTGTAGCCAGGAGGTGGCTCTGTCTGGAAGACTGAGAAACCACGGGTTCTAAGCGGTCCTCAGGCATCCCAGCATTTCCCAATAGTGCTACCTACTCACGAAAGAATAAGATCCCTACTCTCTTTCACTGTGGCTAATTATACTCACCCAGACACACACGCATATCCTTCACCTGCAGGGAGTGCTCTCAGGACAAGTTAGTTGGCAGAATACCTTTAGGTTCTCAGCTTCTTAAATGCTTGAAATAACCGTCTCTCATGTCTTTGTGCTCCACATGAAACAAAAAACAGGAGAGGAAAAAACACTCATTTTTTCCCTTAGTACCTTCTCACATTTGATAAAGGTAATGTAAACCCTCTGACCTAACCCTGTCTGTGCCAGCAGTGCCAGGCATTGTTGCTGGCTCCAGCACAGGCCAGTCACGCCATTCCATACTGTGCCATAACTTCTGTCACCTCCCTTCTGAGCCTCTTTGTACTTGTGCCCATTCCCTGACCCATCATCTTCATCTCAGGTAGCAGGGTTTGGACTGGTCCACTTAGTGTGGGTCAGAAACTTCATTTTCAGTAAGCATAACTGCATTGACTTGATTTTTTGGGGGAGGCTGGTATTGAGACCTGATCTGTTATGACTCTGTACTTTGTGACTGAGGTTTTAAAGAAGCTGCAAACTCCAACTGAGAAATTTACCACTGCTGAGGCATTTATAATGCCTCTTTTTGGCCTGGGTTTCTTCCTGTAGGCAGAAAGCTTACACTGTGGCATTTACCCTAGAAAGGAAATTCAAAACAAGGAGGTTCCCATGAGCCCACGGAGGAGGAGAGATGGCTCTCAGCCATCTGCATGAAACCAGGTTGCTCCAAGCCCTGTCCAGCCTGGCCTTGAACACTGCCAGGTAGCCACAGTTTCTCTGGGCAACCTGTGCCAGGGCCTCACCACCCTCACAGTGGTGAGATGCACACAGATCATTTCTTCCCTGTATTCAGCTACGCAGTTTCACAGACCTTAAGGAACTTATTCTCCCTTTTGGAGCCTTCTATCCCTTCTGTGTAATTTGAGAGAGAAAGAAAAGTTATTAGTAAGGGCTTTCACACACATGGCGTTTCACTGCACAAGCTTTCCTTCTTCAGCAAAGCAGGCTAAAGATGGAGTCACACAGGTTTGCACCAGCTGAACCTACTGACGTTCTCTTTATCACATGTCTAGTTATATGCTTATATAATGTAATAGAAAATTGCAACCTTTATTTCAGCATCCCCATTGTTTATATGAGTAAGCTTTTATTTGGTAACACATACAGGGCCCAGTTTTCTAAAACTATGATTAGTAGTAAGCAATGAGGTTGCTTGTGGGAAAGAAATGTCAGGGCAGAATTGAACTGCTTAGCTCTCGCTACAGGCTTGTTTCCACGGTGAACATTCCCTTTAGAAAAAGCAGTTTGTTTTGGTTAAGCTTAGGATGATTATTATATTTTGTGTTTATTTACCACTGGCCATTTTCTAGATGGTTAAGAAATAGTGAGTAGCAGAGACTTGATCCTTTTTCCACATGCAGAAGCTGTTAAATTGTTCCCTTTATAGTCAAAGTTAAATGTCTGATCTGACCTGTATTATTTTACATTATAAAGCGTGTTCCTCTGAGTATGTTGTGCCTGGTACAAATGTATGGTAATACATTTTTATATTTTCTTGAAAGCTTATTTAGGGTAGTAGTAAATATTTGTTACTATCGGGGTTGGTTTTGTTGCTGAATTAAATACGATATGCTAAATATAGAACTGTCTGTCTTTTAGGGGATTCCTGTCCATAATGCCATCAGTTCCGGTAATCCCTTATCCTTCTGCTCAGATTCCTGAGTGGGTCATTCTTACTCATGCTGTTACAGCCTAGTATTTAACTAGAAACTACTCTCTTATGGTACCCTGTTCCCCACATATTTTTTTTCCCCCACAGCTCTTGGATTTGGGGAATAGATTGGCATTTTAATGTCCCACTAATGAAAAATATTGCTCATCCTGTCCTAATCGAATTCTGTCATTGTTCAGCTGTGCTGAAACAAATGTTATTGTGCCATACCAAATTTTGCCTGTTGGAACCCATTAGTTGCATTTGAAGAGTTAACAATTGTATAAACTGTGCAAGAGGATGTGAGTGCAAACCAGCAGATGGGAACTCAGCCCACCAGCCAAACTGGGCAGGCTAGTGGCAGATCCATGCCAGAAGCCATATAGCCGCATTACTGTGGCTTTGCACCCAAGCTTGTATGCGACGGGCTAATGTTGGCTGTATGGCTTCCGGAGCAGCCCTGGCAGCTAAGAGCATAGGCAGAGCGAGTTCCTGTCTGGAGTTGTCTCTGCAGACATAACCTAAATAACTTCAGAGCAACAGTATATTCTTTAG